TATACCCATTGGTCGTATTAAGTGGTGGGATTCCCCGTTGCACCTTGCGAAGTCCATTCACATGTTTGTAAAGAAGCTTTTTTGTTCGAACAGAATCGTTTGGCTAGCTCCTGCTGATGCGTTCTCTTGTCTTCGCGAACCAAAAGCACACAGTAGTTGCGATGCGAAACGTATTCCGTCCAGTTTTCTGCGCTGGGGTTGCTTTTATACGTGCGCCATGCCCGATCCCTTAGAGTCATACATTTTCGCGTCCGGCTTCGCAAGAATGATTTCGCTGTGCCGGGATGTTGGGAAACCTTTGGTGTTGAGGCTTCTATGACTAGTGACGTGATGGTGTTCGCAAATGTCTCCCAGGCTAGTTCTGGGGTGCAGTTAGCTAGAAACGTCCAACTGGTATTCTCAACTAGAGCAGACAGAACGTGGTAATGGGTAACAGATTGCCTCTTTTCGAGCTCCGTAGCTGGATATTCGGCGTAGCAGATGTACTCGAACTGCAAAGTCACGTGATCGCTAAGGCCCAAAGGACTGCACACCTTAGTCCATCGACCATGAGCTCTTCGTTAGTGAGCGCTAGATCTAATATCGATGGGTTGTTTCCTGTTCTGGACCTGGTTGGAACGGTAACGTGGTTATACAAGAAGGTGCTAGAGAGTAGCTCTTGCAAATATGCCTTGAACACTTCTGTCTCGGATGCTGAATTTTCCAAGTCATGGGTGTTGAAATCTCCTGCAACGAGGATGTGGCTGTACTTCTGATTAAGCACGGAGCGAAAAGCGGAGATAAGTCTGTTGTCCCTTTCCGGAGTGGATTTCGGTGGTCGGTAAACCACAGAGAGAAGGCATACGTGGTTGCGTTCCAACCACAGTTTGCACCAAAGGACGTCGGTGACACAAGTCTGGGGATCGTCTATGAGCTCACAACAAAGGTTCGTTCGGAAATAAATGAGCACGCCACCGCCCTTGCCCGTTCTGTCGTTCCGGAGAAGTGACATACCCGGTATGGCAATCTCAGCGTCTGTGATTTCGCCGCTCAGCCAGGTTTCGGTGATCATTATGATGTATCGAGGCTCCGAAGCCAAACGGTGACGGAGTTCTACCAACTTACTTCGCGGCCTTCCGGGCCCTGCTGGTCCCCCGTGTTCAGCCGTGTTTCGTGGGATATTGCGGTTGTTGATAAATCCATGCCTTTACAAAGTTGCTTGAGTGGATGGTTCAACAATTTGATGGCTCCGCGTGAGTCGTTGGTAATCCGTGGCAGCGTACCTGATGCCTTTAACCGAATTTCAGCTGGCAGCTTCATGCGGAATTTGGACCAGTTTTCCAAGGCGAGCGGTAACGTAAACTCAGATTGAAGCACCACCTTCATAAGTCTGGGACCGTTCCCTTTGTAGTTGGGTGAAAATGGAATCCTGGTCAACCGCTTAGCGGTGATATTATTGAGGGAAATTTCGTGGCGGATGTAACTCCATTGCTCCCGGTCATGTGCATCCGCTGCATCAGAGGTTGAATTTTGGAGCTCAGGAACCCCGTACACAATTATCGTCCGTTTCGCCTCGGCTTTACGAACTTCTTCGCGGTTGCTCATCTTTTTCGGACGTTCGTTCCAGGGGATATCAGGAAGTATACGCGCCTCGAGTGATGAATGACAAGCCTGTTGGACGATAGTAGAACTGCCTCTGTGTCCTTGATGGAGTTTAGTGTCACCCGGAGAAGTCGGGGTTCACCGTAGTGCGCTGAATTTGGATGACGTGTGACTCGTCTCAGCATTTCAGGTTCAACCGAAATGCCAATCGCAGTACATATAGACTTCCACTGATTACGATCATCCAACAGCTTCCCCTTTATTGTACTCGCCTGTGATTCAGGAACATTTGTACACACAACGGTTAACGCGCCTTGGCTCCTTGCGTTGGATGCAGATTTGCCATGATTTAAAGACACGGTGTTAAACGGATTGTTTGGTTGTTGGAGTCTGGTCAACTTACTGTTGCTTGGTGAGGCCACCGGAGTCGGAGGTAATTTAGCCAGTGTATACATTGAGGCGACTGAGGCGTACGACGCCCGACTTTTCTCTACGGCGGAAGAGGTTTGCCCCGGAGCTTCCGCGGTTGCTGTTGAATGGAGGTGGGGCGTGTGACTCAAAGGTGTGGACATCAGTACTCTGGATGTTCGTCCGCTTTTGGAAGTTGAGTGAGGCAAGGGATTTGGAGAAACTGAGGCTGCAGCGCGACTTGAGCGTCTAGCCCTTTTTTTCGGCCTCGAGGTGGAGCTTTCTTTGACCGACTGTGGTACAATCATGGCCATATTCGCGGCCGGTGGTGCAAGCCTGGCGTTCAACAAATAAGCGATTGTCGCATTCAAAGTATCGCACCTTTCTATGAGTGCACATAAACAACCGACCACTGGAGTTAACTGGCAAGTTGGACAAAACCAAAATGCGTCAGCTGCCTTGTTTATTTGCCTTGCTTCTTGGGCGGACTTTCCTATACAGCTCGGGTGGAACGAGCCACTGCAGTTTCGGCACGTTATACCCATTTTAAGGGCTTTGCCGCAATTAGCTGAAGAGCAGATACGTCGTTGCATGATATTCGGCATAGTTGTTGTATTTTTTCAAGTACGAAGACAAGCAAGATGTCGATCACAAATTCCAAAATGACGGGCACAGCAGTAAATCACTGAGATCTCCGAAGATATCAAACGGAATTCCACGAAACTTTCACGGATTGATGAACACACGAAACTAAAAAGTTTGGTGCACAACTAACACAGCAACACACGTAAAATACAGTAATTCCAGAGAAAAAGCAGGATCAGTTTAACAAAAAGACCGCCATACAACCAAAGCAGGTGGAGGTATGATAGACCTACACTGTACATTTGCAGCAGAGCTTCTTGATCATCCGCAGCTAACAAATGTTCCCGAATCTCTTTGGTTTTCCGTCTCAGAAACCGGTTCTCTCATTCTACTCGGATGTGCTTACAACGCGCCACGCTAACCGCAAGTGTTACCATCATCACTTTAGCTTTCGAATTTGCTACTGAGATGCCACACAGATAGAAGATAATTGCCGGTGCTTTTAACCTACCAAAGATTAACTGGTTCTCTCAACCATCCTCGTCTCACACACACACACACCTTTCCTTTCCTCTCTCAGAATTGATGGGTGGATACAATGGGTTGCTGAACTGACAAGAGCGATCAGGATAATCAACCTGATATTCACGTCGGGGGTCACAAATGCACTAACGGAGTTATCAGACAAACTCTGGTAGCGATCACAAGATGGTACGATTCAACTTCTGCGTTAAATTGGCCATCCAACACGTCGTTATTCCGCAACATGCAAACCATAGGATGAACTGGAAGCAACTCAAATAATTGATCCGATTGGGACGCATTCTTCCTCGCTAAAAATGTGTGCACTACCTTGGACTATTTCTACCATCGGGTGGCCATTGCTATTCTTACTCCCCAACGCCAGGGGAGTAAATGCGTACCGTTGAAACAGAAGACAAACAACTGTTTATCAATAAAGCAGATGCATGACATATTCTGAAAAATATGACCTGTGCAGAATATGAATCCAGTTTCTCACTCAATGAGAAATATGCCTATCGTTATTACCGTTATTATTATCATTATCTCGAATCGTTTGTTATCAGGGAAAATTACACTGCTTTTAACGGTCGGGTGCAGCAATTTTCAAGCTCAAGTAAGACAGGGAGTACGCTGAAGGAAGATGGTGTGAATCGTTTTGTTATGTTTTACTGAAACCTGTTTAAGCCTTGAGATAGTAGATTCTTAAGTCAATTAATCTGGTAGGTCACTGCTTCGGAATGACAGAGCTGGAAGTGCTGGTGGCGTAATAATCTATTACAAGGTTAACCCCCGATGTGAACGTATTGACCCCCAGAGATCCGTGCCCCATATTCGCTTTGGTGCCGGCTATGGTTGCGGAACAAAGACACATGTCTTATAGTTGCGATTTACTGTACACCAAACTCTACCTGTGAAATGGAATTCAAACCAAACTACGTTCTTAAGGTTGGTTTGAGCAAGGTGTACAGTCACATTCCTATCGCAAGCGATTTTATTGTGCACGACTTGGAAATAGCGGCGACCAACAGCAGGCAGTTCAAGGCCAGCTTATAAGAGGTAATTTCCAGGTATCCACGTGACCTCTCCTCCTAGATTTTAAACTGCCAACAAGCTGTCGATACTTGATCTTGTGCTCATAAACGAAGCACTCATGGTCGACGGAGTAATTAAAACCACACCACGTGGTCGCAGTGACCATGTGGCTCTATGTTTATACGGAATATCCTGAGGAAGCGGATGATATAGTGCATACGGTTACGCACTAGTACGTGTACTCAACGATTGTTAAGGAGATATCTTGGACCTTTTTAACTGAATGCCCCAGAAATCGCCTGGGACACTTTTACAAGGACATTCACTACACTGGTGACGCACGCGTCTAAGCAGAAATCCTCTCATCGTCAAAGGAGGAGTCATTTCTGAGGAACAGAACACGCAAGTTTATCACCTTGAGGATCTTAGCATCGAGAGCTCACAAGGACTCTCCGAATTCCAAAAGTTGGACTGTCTATGTGGCACAAGAAGGCTTCTGTGTGGGCTTGATCCGTGAAGAGGTGACGCATCAGCAGGAGGTAATGAGGAGATTCTGCACGAACCACAAACTCTTTTGCAGGCATGTTAATGGCATTCGTAAAGTATAACGCGGAATACCAGCAGTGTTCAAGATTGACGGGTGCATACGGTCAGCAAAGGCAACAGCCGAAAGCTTACGGTTCCATTACTCACAAACTTTCCAGAGCGTAACGGGCTCGAACGTTAGCCCTGTTTCTATTGTCCTACCGTCAGCTTTATCCAATATCACTTTCATTGTAAACTGTTGTCGCTGCATATCCACAGCTCTCTTGGTATCGATAACATTAGATCGAAGGCTTTACAGTCAACAGCCAGTAGTCTGGCGGAACCTCTGACTATATGCGACCAGCGCTGTATGGAGGAAAACCGTACTCCAACAACATGGGAGATAGTCGCACTGACCTAACCAATTACCGTCCAATAACGCTGCTTCCTGTGCCTTCCAAGGTTATGGAGTCTATCATCGCTGATGCACTCATGAAGTAGCTGGAAATTCACAAGATGATAGCCCCAGACCAACATGGCCTCCGACAAAAGCGCTCATGCACTACGAACCTGCTAATTGCATACAATAGCTGGACTGAAGCAGTTGCTGGTAGGGGAGCAAGAATCGATGTCATTCACCTAGACTTCTCAAAAGCATTTGATCGCTTAAAGTACGCAATTCTCCTCCATAAAATTAAGGTCTCTGGCGTTGGTGACTCACTGCTGCGTTGGACAGGCAATTTTCTGCACAAAGGACGGTTGAAAATGAAAGTACGGGAACCCCTGTCCGACGCAATTGAGATGAAGTGGATCGTACCAAAAGACTCAGTGCTCGGGTCTCGGCTACTTTTTTGATTTTCATAAATGACCTGGCGAGGGAAATTACTTAGATTTCTTATTCCTCGCGGATGTTATCGAGTTAGCGGGAGAGCTCAAATAACCAAAGTCATGAAAAGCTCCAGCCTGACACCAGCACGATTTCAACTTGGTCAGTTTTGAATACCTTATCGTTCAATGTGGAAAAATGTCACCCTGTTCACTTGCGCAATAAGCATGAGTAGGTGTATAGGCCTGAGTTACACGTACTGCAAACAAGTTCCCAAGTACGCTACCTTGGTGTGCTCATTCAAAGTGATTTTAACTGTTCAAAGCAATCACAGACAGCTGCGATGAAAGCCAACCAGCACTTCGGCTTGCTGCGGAGAGCATTCGGAAGATTCGACACATCCATCTTCCCCATGGTGCACAATTCTTACATGCGCCATTACGTAAAATACGTCATCCAAGCTTGGAAACCCTGTTTGAAGAGCGACTTGGAAGTGCGAGAGACAACACAGCGCAGGGCCACAAAGAACGTCAATGGTCTACGAAATCTTTCCTACCGTCGAAGGCTAAAGACACTGGGAGTTTTCAGTGGCCGCTTCCAAAGGTTGCGCGGCGATTTTATATTAATTTACCAAAAGCTGAGTGACCACAGTTAATCGCTATAACTCGAACATAACACCAATCTCAGGGGTAACCCTCTGTGTGTACAGCTAGCTGCCTAGAATGGCGGCGGAATAATTGTTCCTTTCGGATATGCCAAAGCCGGAAAGCTCTTCCAAACGTACTTGTTTCATCCCCACGTCTGAAATTTTATAAAAGATGATGGGATCTTGCCCTTGGCCCTCATCACTTCGTTGTTTAAAATGGACTACTTTGGAATATATGGATTATATTTTCAAACCGGATTAACATGTCACATAACCCTGAGGAGACGGTACAAAAGCGAGTGTTCTCATTTTATCTTTTCTCACGAAGTGCATTAATTATAACTTTTCTCCTGTTACTTTGTCGTTCGCGTTCAATTCCCGTGTACACTACTAATAATCAGCAGCGTATCTGCTAGATAAATGCTCAAGGCGACAATTCACATATCTTATGATAGTTGTGCTTTTACCCCCACCATTTTGGAAGACTTGTCAAACAATTGCTTTTCAACTTATGCAGTATCCCTGTGTTTGAATGAAAGTCCATTACAATTGTGAGAAAGAAACAGGCAACGCAGCATGCTAGCGAAAACTGCATTGAGGACTGCTGCTGTTTGAACGAGACAGGTAAATTAGATTGATAGTTGAGCCGATCCACTGAAGGTAGGCTACGCAGCCGACGTTACGCTGCTAGTGCCGACTATTAATGAATAGCCGCAGAGCCATGGAAACAAAAGGGCTTGCATAAGGGCTTTATGTTGGCACAAATCAGGCTGGCAAAAATCATTGTTCGTTGTTAAGCAGTCGGAAACTGAGTCGCATCCACTGCTGAGCAGATTCACTTTCCACTGTATCCGTGTATGATTGTCAAAGCAGACTCCCTCTAGTAACGTTAATTTATATTATTGGTGGTTTCGTGAGTAGTGTAATTTATGTAGAAAGTAAAAGCCACGAGTAAATTTTGCACAATAACCTGCCTCAACGGGGACGTTAATTTGTCATGATGTGACATTGAGGTGCTGACTGCCAAAACCATCACGTGGTGCATTGACTTCCTTAGAAAGATTGCTCAACGGATTATTGCAAACATGATAGGAAGCAAAACATAAACCTTCCGGACCACATGCACTTTCGGGGACCAGAGCGTAGACCCATGGCCGGGAACGGAGTTACTGTATCCATGAAACCCGCGTCCGTGATAATAGAAGTTAGACCAGAAGATTAAATTGCCTGTCCCATTTGTTGGGAACCCATTTTCATTTACGTATTGCATTATGACTTCGCTTTCAGTGTACATCAATGGATTACAGTTGTATGTGTACATGGAAAATTGTGAGGTACACCATAACCAAACACGGGACCTGTTAAGCACTTACTTTGTTTCCATTGATAACACATTGTTCATCGAAACTGTTACATTAGCTTGAAAAGCAACAAGTACTATCCGTGGAACGTGTACTAAGACTGTCATATTATTAGCCGCATTAAAATCTTGGGGTGCAGTAAGTCGCAATTCTGTGAAGCAAAGAAGCTTCGTGCGCCGCGGTCAACCCATCACTGAAGTTGCCTACGTAGGCTATCTTACAAACGATTTAGCAGTTTGTACATAGGCAACTGTAACGTCCTGACACAATGCGCCACTCTTTTTCGGACGCGTTGGCCTACGTGTGCAATGTGGCCATCGCACGTAATTGCTCGCACCGACAAGAATCTGGTAGCTTTAGTACAGGACACTGACTACCGGCAATGATAGAATGTGAACAAATAGTAGCTGTTTCTGCCGACAGCGTTCGTTAAAGGGATACGGTAGTGCATGTACAAAATACTTGTCATACATTGACCCAACGTCATCTACCGCCAACTGGTGAACTAAGGCATCACCATTCTCATCATCTTCATGCAATTCACCAACGCCCGGACGACGAAGTGATTGTGAATATGTGTGGCAGGCATCACTTTGTCCCATACATGCCTACCTTGCGTTCTATGCCGACACACAACATTCTATTGGCTGACAGAGCCGGGCCAATGCGGCAGACCCGCGATCTTGCGTGCGGTAACCACGACTAAGGCATGGACGGATCAAGTTATAGGAGTAACAAGGGAATTTGAAAGCTCTCGGGCTAACGTGGTTCCGCTATGGACAAACGTGCATTAGAAATGGGTTGGTAAGATCTAGCTGCTTCGGAAAAACCCAATCACCAGCCGGGCAATACGGGAACGTTCGGCAGATACCACCCAGCGCCTTGCCATTAAATCTGTAATCACTAGGAATCAAGTACACTTTGACAAAAGCGATACAAAGTAAATACCGATACTCTGCTACAATCTGTGTAGGTATCCTTGCTTACGATGCCAGCGTCTCACAAATAGCACCCGATGTTGAGTGCTTTGGGCGCCGGCATAAGATTGCATTGGTGTGCGATCGCGCGCGAGGTGGCGGTTGTGCTTCAGAGGTTTGCTTGTGGGATTCCATCCGGATCCTTTGGCTCAATAGCCTGACCCACAAGGAAGTGGGGAACAGATCCAGCTCGGGAAACGGGTTGCAGAGACAGATTGGGATCTACTTGACGGCCGTCACACGAAGCCTTTGGGGTACTGGAACTATTCATATGTGTTTTGCGACGGCAGTAGTATACGCACCTGCGACCACGGCCAGACGCAGGTGGGTTTTGGCGGGTTTGCTCCAATTTAACCGGAGGCTGCCTGGCTTGATGCAGGTAGTAGCAAACCATTGAGCACCCTGAGGTGCCCTCCCATCGCCAGAGACAATGCGTGGTACTCGTGCTCTATGCCAATCGAGCGATGAGCTTGTAACCCGTAGACCTGCTGTCTCCCATTGGTATGATTTATGGGAAGAGGGCCATTGACCACTTCCTAACCTCCAAAGAGGATGGACTAGGACACTTGCAGGGTACTCACACC